TTTTTCACATTATATTAAGCACTTTTTTGTGTTATGATTAAGTGCTAGAGTAGCGTGAAATGCATCAACAGCTTTCTCCCCATATGCTCATTGTGATTGCCATGCTTTTAAGGATTGTTCTACAATAAGGTGTTAAACTACAGTGTGGCTATCCAGATTATTATTCTCACTTCCTCCACAACTGAATTCTGCCCTAGGCTTACCAACACCATACATTTTAACTTCGAGGCTTCACACCCATGACTGATGGCCAGGTTCCTAGGGAGCCCCATATCACAGCAGGGCCCTGCAGGGGGGGCCCATGCTGCTAGGGAAGGAGCCTAAAGCATGCTGGTTCCTTCGCTACTGGGGCCCTTAGTCACCCCAACCAAGTCACCCACTTCCCATCTGACTGGTTACTATCTGATCTGTTCTTCAAGCTGACAAATATCTTCACCTATGACATCACTCACAAGGGCTATGTCCATGTCTCCCCAAAACACACAGGCTCTGAGAACAGGAGGACCAGGATATAGATTTGGGGCTTTTGTGCCCAAACCAGGATTGACCCTCCCTGTCCTAGTCTCAGAGACTCTAAGAAGATGTGACTATATATTCATCTCAAAACAAGCCTGATGCTGAGCACTCTTGATGTAATCTGTTTTTTTAAGGTGTTATGTATTTACTGTCTTGTGGACTGCCCATATGTGCATTCCATTGTTAATTGAGTTAATTCAGTTACCTATTATTTATCTGCTGGCAAGTCCTCTTGGAGGCTCCTGCATGATGAGATTACTGGTGATGTCAGCTTCACCTCATTATCTAATCAGCGTTAAATGTTTATCCTAATGTATACTATTTGTGGTTATTGTTCATGTGGGGACTGCCCCTATTTGTGAAGTGTATAAAAACCTGTGATTTCTGTTCAATAAAGTAGTTCTTGTTTGGCATCTAAGCTAGTGTCACCTAGTCTTAGGTACAATGCCCAGCTATAATACCTTGGTCCTGTGTCCCAGTGGCGAGGAAGCAGTTCTCTGACGGAGTCACCCAATCATGGTGACAGGCATTCTGTCACATGGGGCACCAAGCAAGGGTCACATGAGAGGCCTACTTTAGGGTTGGTTCTTCTGTACTGCATTACGCATCTTGTACAGGGTCTCTCTCTATCTCTACTTTAGACACATGTACCTTTGCTTTAGTGCCATTTCCACCAATGCCCTGGCACAAGGCTGAGGTTGCAGTCAGAGAATACTTGATTTTAAAGCTGACCTCTGCTTTTAGAGATGAACATACACCATGTACACTTGCAGGGCAACTGTTTTCCAGTTAAGTTTTGGGACACTGTGTAAATACATCTTCCTACTGTAGCTTACAATTAGGCGGGCCATGCCGAACACTGACCACAGTCATCTGTCCAGTATTTCCCCACCACCAGTTCCTGTTGCAGAATGGAACCCCACCATTCACATCGCTTTCATGTGCACTTGACTTTAACTCTTGAACTTTAACTTTTAAACTTCTGTAAATCTGTAAAGGATGGGGACCTCTGTAGTGCAGTTTCATTCCGATTGCTGTAAGAGACAGAATGCAGTGTCGTGACTGTCAAAAACATCTTCCTCGGGGCTAGAAGCTATTCCACTTATAACAGGTACACATTTATGACAGGCTGCTTGCTGACTGTACCTCCGTTGATCATGGCAGCCACATGTATATATTGCACTACAACAAATTTTAATGTGCTGGCTCTTCATACCCCATGTGCTAGTGACCCAAGCTGTAGACTAAGTGCAAAGTTGTGCCGGTTACATGCATTACACCCTTTTGACAAACTTTAGATCAAATAAAGATCAGATACTAAATAAATTGTCAATACTGCACTTAGAGGCACCTTCCTCTCTTTTTCTTGTTACTGCATTAGAGCCTTGCTTCCACTCTAAGAAGAGCTGCCTCAGTGTTACTGCTCCCCCATCCATCCATCCCTGATATCCATCTGGCACCTTTATCCTACACCTACAGAGGTTGGGCTCCAACAAGCGCGCCCTATATAATATACATTTTATGAGGAGAATGTCAGTGTCTTCTTACTTAACTGGTGTATGGGACTCTCTCACCTGATTGGTGGCTTCCAGCAGGTCCTGGCTGTCTCTCTCTCTTGGCAGATGGGGGCCCCCACAGGTTCTCCAGTCTCATGTGCAGCATTCCGTCTGGTCACTGTGCCCCAGGTCACCTGCTGGCAGACTGCCTCGCTGAACAAGGTGGCAAGGTCAGCAGTCAGTGGCTCCTCCTTGCTTCTCCTCTCTCCAACTCTGTGGCCTGGACGGCACCTCTCTCTCTGCTTCCTCTCTCCAGCTCTCTCCCTTCTCACTTCCTGTCCAGTCTCCTGTATACAGTGAGGAACAGAAGTATTTGAACACCCTGCGATTTTGCAAGTTCTCCCACTTAGAAATCATGGAGGGGTCTGAAATTCACATTGTAGGTGCATTCCCACTCTGAGAGACAGAATTAAAAAAAATTCAGGAAATCACATTGTATGATTTTTAAAGAATTTATTTGTCTTGCACTGCTGAACATAAGTATTTGAACACCTAAGAAACAGCAAGAATTCTGGCTCTCAAAGACCTGTTACTGTGCCTTTAAAAAGTCCAACTCTACTCATTAATCTAATTTAGTAGCACCTGTCTGAGCTCTTTAAAGACACCTGTCCACCCCACAGTCAGTCAGACGCCAACTACTACCATGGGCAAGACCAAAGAGCTGTCAAAAGACACCAGAGACAAAATTGTGGTCCTCCACAAGGCTGGAAAGGGCTACGGGGCAATTGCCAAGCAGCTTGGTGAAAATAGATCAACTGTTGGAGCAATTGTTAGAAAATGGAGGAGGCTAAAGATGACTGTCAGTCTCCCTCGGATTGGAGCTCCATGCAAGGTCTCACCTCGTGGGGTATCACTGATGATAAGAAAGGTGAGGAATCAGCCCAGAACTACAAGAGAGGAGCTGATCAATGACATGAAGAGAGCTGGGACCACAGTTTCAAAGGTCACTGTCGGTAGAACACTACGCCGTCATGGTTTCAAATCACGCATTGCACGGAAGGTTCCCCTGCTCATGTCATCACATGTCCAGGCCCGTCTGAAGTTTGCCAATGACCATCTGGATGATCCAGAGGAGGCATGGGAGAAAGTCATGTGGTCAGATGAGACCAAAGTAGAACTTTTTGGTCTAAACTTCACTCATCGTGTTTGGAAGAAAAAGAAGGATGAGTTGCATTCCAAGAACACCATCCCTACTGTGAAGCATGGGAGTGGTAACATCATGCTTTGGGGGTGCTTTTCTGCGAAGGGGACAGGACAACTGCACTGTATTAAGGAGAGGATGAATGGGACCATTTATTGTGAGATTTTGAGCAACAACCTCCTTCCCTCAGTCAGAGCATTGAAGATGGGTCGTGGCTGGGTCTTCCAACATGACAACGACCCGAAGCACACAGCTGGGATAACCAAGGAGTGGCTCCGTAAGAAGCATATCAAGATTCTGGAGTGGCCTAGCCGGTCTCCAGACCTAAATCCAATAGAACATCTTTGGAGGGAGCTGAAACTCCGTGTTGCTCAGCGACAGCCCCGAAACCTGACAGATCTAGAGGAGATCTGTGCGGAGGAGTGGGTCAAAATCCCTGTTGCAGTGTGCACAAACCTGGTCAAGAACTACAGGAAACGTTTGACCTCTGTAATTGCAAACAAAGGCTTCTGTACCAAATATTAACACTGATTTTCTCAGGTGTTTCAGGTGTTCAAATACTTATGTTCAGCAGTGCAAGACAAATAAATTCTTTAAAAATCATACAATGTGATTTCCTGAATTTTTTTTTTTTAATTCTGTCTCTCAGAGTGGGAATGCACCTACAATGTGAATTTCAAACTACTGCATGATTTCTAAGTGGGAGAACTTGCAAAATCGCAGGGTGTTCAAATACTTCTGTTCCTCACTGTATATATGCCCCGCCTACAAACCAGCACTTCTGGGAAAGGTAGTCCTCAGATACACTGTTCCCCAGCAATGTACTGAGATTCAGCATACAAATCCATGGAGCTGCTCTGCACAATGTGAGTGCTGCTAAACTTGCAGGACACTGCCATCTTATGTTGGTGTTAACATCCTGCAGTTGACATCACAGCAAGGGTGCTACATTTATGAAACGTATTATTTATAAAGACTTTATATATCACAACAGCTACACTTATGTCTGTAGTACATGTTCAAACCACAACACTATAAATAGTAACATGTTATTAGATTTTTACTCCAGGAGTATATGATGACTTTGGCAGTTCTAGAGAAATGCTTAAATAATGCATACAATTTAACTAAACCCATTAGATTTTAGTCAACTAAAATGTACTGGAGCTTTTAGCCGACTATAATGTAGATTTTAGTTGACTAAAATGTATTGGAGATTTTAGTTGACTAAAATACAACTAAAACTAAAATGGCATTTTAGTCAAAAGACTATGACTAAAACTAAATCAAATTTGTCGTCAAAATTAACACTGCGGACCACTGTTCTTTTTATATCCACAGGAGCAGTTTGTTGGACCCAAAGATCCCGCCAATGAAAAACCAGGGAACCAAGTTAAACCCAGCCCTCCCGTCTGTGACAGCCCCTATATAAGTCCAACCTGCATACATTCAGTGTAATGAAAGAAAAATAATGATAGTAGTTGGCTTAAGCATTTGTTATACATTTCAGTCCTTATTAGTGCAAAATATGGGTACCATGGATCTACAGAGTAATAAATATTTAGAAAATGAAAACAATCTATGAGTGTGATTACCCTTTTTCATCTAAAGAGGTGATGGCTGATGTACAGATCCATAGAAAAGACTTAATTGAGAACTTGAGAAGTCCATTAAGCACTTCTCTGCCGCCCTATTGCAGAAATACTGCTACAGGGTGGCAGGGCTGCGCAAAATCAAGTATCTGCCATTGGTGGTTACAGATGTCGATCGCTGAGTCCTGGTCAGAAATTCCCCGTCAGCACCAGGCGATCGCCGAGAAACAGCGACAGGAGCGAGACCTGTGTGTAAACAACACAGGTCTCTCTTCTGCCAGCAATAACATGCTGCTGTGTATCTCTCTGCACAGCAGAGAAATACACATCAGCATATTTCTCTAGTAAAATACACACAGTAAAAAAGTACACAGCACACACATGTTAACCCCTTCCTGCCCAGTTCATTAATACAGTGTCAGTGCTTTTTATTAGCACTGATCGCTGTATTAATGTCATTGGGATGTCAGTGGCAGTTAGTCAGTTCCCACCCAGTGTCAGAATGCCCATCCCAGTCCCGCAGTCGCGCTATAGGTCGCTGAACACCATTACTAGTATAAAAAATATATATACTGCCATTTGTAGATGCAATAACTTTCACGTAAACCAATAAATTTACGCGTATTTGGATTTTTTTTTAGCAAAGACGTGTAGCAGAATACATTTTGGCCTAAACTTACAACAAAATTTGATTTTTTTAAAAAAACATTTTACTGGATATGTTTAATAGCAAAAAGTCAAAAATATTGCTTTTGTTTTCAAAGTTGTTGGTCTTTTTTTGTTTATAGTGCAAAAAATAAAAAATACAGAGGTGATCAAATACCACCAAAATAAATCTATATTTGTAAAAAGGACATATATTTCATTTATGTACAGCACTGCAAGACCGCGCAATCAGTTAAAGTAACGCAGCGCCATATCACAAAAAAAATGGCCTGGTCAGGAAGGGGGGTAAATCCTCTGGAGGGCAAGTGGTTAATGTGAGTAGATGGAGTACAAAAGATTCTTTGTCACCTTTTTTCCACCACTGTAAGCAGGACTGACCTTACAGATTCAACATTTACAAGGACAGTTTATTCATAATGTGGTTGTTTGTCACCAATTTACAGTAATGCTAGCAAGTAAATTGTGTTGGACAACTGTTTGGGGGTACTAATATATTTGTTTGTGGTCACAACCTAATTGCAGCCAGGGGTGGACTGACCATTTGGAAACTCGGGCAGTAGGGGGCCCCATGAGATGCCCCTGGTACCTTTTTCATAGGCTTTTTTGAGTTTGGGCAAGGACACAGGGGCCCCATGATCCCCTATTGCCCGGGGGCCCTATGAGTTGTCAGTCTGCCCCTGATTGCAGCCCAAAGCAACATCTATTATTGTTTGGGTCCATGTGATGCAAAACAACTGTCCCTAATTAGTTGCATTGATTGTACAGTCTCACCAAGAAATGACAATGGAGTATAAAAGAATAATGAAGGATGTCAGATGAAAATGAAGAAGATTGAAAAAAACATTTTTATGGCAGTGGGTAAACTGTACAAAGACAAATGCCCTTTACCCAGTAGATGTTCTTTTTGAGCAAATTGGAAACTCCCTGAGCTCATTCATTTGCAAATAAGTTCAAAGATCAGGTTTATTTATGCCTTATCTCATCAACTGCTGTGGGCCATAATAATGCCATGACTCCTACCTGTAGCCTGCCAGAATACAACTATGTCATGTTTGAGTTATTTTACCTTTGCTACTCAAAGATATGGACAGGTGAACCTCCCCGGATTTTGCCTGCATTCTATAAATTACAGTAATTTTGCAGAATGGAATGTGGATAGTGCAGTGCACACAAACTATAAACAACAATAATGTAAAAAACCCTTTTCTTGGCAAACCAACCCCCCAATTCCTTCCACCATCTAGGGAGCTACAGTGCTGGTGTTTGGAGCAGTGTGCAGAAGGCATGTCAAACCACTGGAGACCTGGGCCACTGCTTCTGTAGGACTGCAGTAGTCTGACTCTCAAGTATGCTGCTAGATTAGTATGTTAAAACAAACAAAAAATAACTTTTTATTACTGTATGTGCAGAGTGACTGCATTACAGTAATAAATACAGAGGCTTCCACAGGGCTTTAACCACTTGCCCTCCTGAGGATTTACCCCCCTTCCTGACCAGGCCATTTTTTGCTTTACAGCGCTGCGTTACTTTAACTGACAATTGCGCGGTCATGCAATGCTGCACCCAATTGAAATGTACATCCTTTTTTTCCCATGAATAGAGCTTTCTTTTGGTGGTATTTTTTCGTCTGTACATTTTTTACTTTTTGCGCTATGAAAAAAAAAGGCCGACAATTTTTTGAGAAAAAAAAATATTTTTTGACTCTTTGATATTAAACATGTCCAGTAAAAAAATAAAAAAAATCTAATTTCGTTATAAATTTAGGCCAAAATGTATTTTGCTACATCTTTCCTATAAAAAATCCCAATACGTGTAAATGAATTAGTTTACGTGAAAGTTATAGCGTTTACAAATGGCGGTACATATACTGGGATTTTTTCATGTTAACTTTTACTAGTAATGGTGGCGATCAGCGACTTATAGCCGGACTGCGTCGGGCATTCTGACACTGTAGGGAACTGACTTAGTTTCACTGACATTTCCAGTGACACCAATACAGTGATCAGTGCTAATAAAAAGCACTGACACTGTACTAATGGCACTGTGCAGAAAGGGGTTAATTTGAGGGGCAATCAAAGGTTAACTATGTGTAGGTAGTGTTTTACTAGGGGGCGAGGGGGTGTTCTTCACTGTATGCAGACTGATCGGGATGGCTGTGCTGTGCACAGCCATCCTGAGCAGTGTGCCCGAGCTGACAGGGAGGAAGGCTGTTTGTAAACAAAACAGTCTTCCTCCCCATCGGTGATTGTCGGTAATCACCAGGCACCGGCGGGTAATCACCGGCCGGGACCCGGTGATTGACATCGCCGGATGTGAATGGCGGTGCGGCTTGAGTATGCCCCCTACCCAGAAATTAAATATCACGTATATATACGTGATTTTCTGCACCCGTGCCACCGTGTAGCAGTATATCTGCTATTTGGTGGCGGGGAAGCAGTTAAATATTTGCAAGACAGAATCAGATTAGGAATAGACAAGTATTCTTACATAGGTGTGGAACTCGAGCTGTTAGGGAGGGGTGTCATCAATTTGAAGGTTTTACAGATGGATACTGATAGCCAGGGGCTCGTGTCAGGAAGATTGACTTCAGATACCAGAGTGACACATTCAAGGACATCAGAGAGAAACAATGGCTATTCTCTAACAGGACAAAATAGACCTGTCCAAAGATAAAGCAATGCCAAATATCACTGCAAAAGTGACTTTAAAGTATAACAAAAGGCAATACATGCTTGGTCATTTTGGATAGAGTACTGGAGGGTTAGAAACAGGGGCGGACTGACCAGTTGGAAACTCGGGCACTGCCCAAGGGCCCAGGGTCAGTAGGGGGCCCCATGAGATGCCCCTGGTACCTTTTTCATAGGCTTTTTTGAGTTGGGGCAAGGATACAGGGGCCCCATGATCCCCTATTGCCCGGGGGCCCCATGAGTTGTCAGTCCGCCCCTGGTTAGAAACCTTCTTTTTTTTTTTTTTGCCATCTGTGTCCCATTGGGGAGATTTCCCCACTGTTAGTGTTTGATGTCAACCCAAAATGTAGGAATTTCTTTTTGCTTTCAGTGATAAGGAGAAACATTAACAATAGTGAGAGTGAATCTCCCTAATGGGGGCACAGACATCAATAAAAACTGAAAAAAAGGTGACTGGAATGCCAACATTGTCTTTTTTAATGGTGAAAGAAGGGTGTTTATGTATGTTATTTGTGATACTATTTTCATTTAATGTTTGACATTCATAAAAGATTTTATGAACTCTTCCTCCTATAGCACTACCCCCTTAGGAGTCACTAAAGTTTTTGGGTCCCCCTATAGTCCTGCACAGCCAGGCAACACACATTTTCCATACAGACTTCCATCTAGGAGACAATATCCAGTCCTTGAGCTTGTTTTTCAACTTGCATGGGGTAAGGGATGTACGGGGTGCTCCAGGGTAACGGCAACAGGGGACAAACTTTCCTGGAACTATATATAAGTCTTTACAGCAAAAATTCTCTTCTGGGGAGCTAGCCAGCATCTATTTTAGTATCCCACCCCAGACCCCAGATTCTCCTAATCCAGCTGTTCTGGGTGAATCCCTGGGCAGGGGATCCAGTGCCTATCACTTTAAAAGAAGACAATCCAGGGTAGTAAGCTAATCCAGTTTCCCACTGAAGTGCTCCTTCCCCTTACTGACCCAGGGGGTGCAGGTCTACTCACTCAGTCCTTCTATGCTGTTGCTGGGTCAGTGGCTGCTACCAGGCTTTCTAGCTGGACTGCTCTTTCCCTGCTGCATTGGTGGTCTTTGCTCTGGGGGCCGGTGAAGTCATGAACTTTCCACCTTCCAAGTTTCCCTGCCTGAAGGTTAGCCCCTTCCCATCTGGGCTCCCTCCCAGGCTCCTGCTCTCCAGCCTCACTTCTCCATCTTCCACTTGAACTCTCCTGCTGCTGAACAGGCTCTGTCACTTTTAAGGGCTTTCCTGACCCCATGCAAAGCTTCCTGTTGGGGGCTGGCCAGGATTCCTCAAAAGTGCAGATCAGCCACTCCTTACCTCCATCCACTGCTTTTAGAACTTTCTCCAAAGTTCTAGTGCAGTGGAAAGTCTCAGAGAGCTGGTCTGCAGAGCTTCTCAGCAATGACCAAAATTTGACCCCGTTCTGTTACACCTGGGCTGCTACTCAGCCCCTATCTACAAATTAGAATCTAGCTCCCACTAGCTGCCTAGGAGGGTTCTACACTCCTCACTGGCTGAGGCAGCAGTGGGAGCCCATTGGCTCCCACTGCCGTCAATCAGCCAGTGAGCCAATGAGAAGTCAGTGGGGGGGGGGGCAGGGCCGAGTCCCAGCTTTGTGTCTAATGGATGCATAGAGCAGCGGCTCAGAGATGAGCATGCAGCGGTGCCCCCAGGGAGAGTGGCTTTCCCTGAGGGCACTGTTTGAGGGGGAGGGAGCGCCCACAGGGACCCAAAAAGAAGAGGATTGGGGCTGCTCTGTGCAAAATCACTGCACAGAGCAGGTAAGTACTTGAACTCTCCTGCTGCTGCTGAACAGGCTCTGTCACTTTTAAGGGCTTTCCTGACCCCATGCAAAGCTTCCTGTTGGGGACTGGCCAGGATCCCTCAAAAGT